AATTTATTATAAATTTTATTAATCATAAAAGGAACATACAGTTCTATTTTAAATGGTTGTCTTATTTTATGAAAATGTTTTTTAAAATAATGAGTGGAAAGTTTGTTTGTAAATAGGGATAACGGAAATGAAATTTGTTTTAAAAAGAAAACACGAAATAAAAATAAAAATTCGTTAATGTTTGTTCGAATAATCAAAATGACATTAGAAAGAAAAAAAAAGGCGACAATAACAATGTAATAATTTTCACGATCGGTTTCCTCTTCATCGACTCGGCTCAAATTACCCTAAAAACTGATAAATGGCGAGTAGATGGAATGAAAACGTGACTGATGACATTTCGAACGAGTATAAAAGACCCGAAATGGATTTTCAAAAGCACTCGCAAGTTTTTTTTTGTTTTGCAAATATTGTAAAATTCAAAAAAAAATAATCGAAATGTACTTCAAAACTTCCGTTTTGGTTTTGGTCGCCGCCACCTTCGTCGCTTCGTACCCCATGCACGGATCCTACGGAGGATGGGGTAGTCAAGGACAATCTCAATCTCAAGCCCAAGGACAAATGATGGGAGGCCACTACGGTGGTATGGGACAAGGACAAGCTCAAGCTCAATCCCAAGGACAAATGATGGGAGGCCACTACGGTGGTATGGGACAAGGACAAGCTCAAGCTCAATCCCAAGGACAAATGATGGGAGGCTACTACGGTGGTATGGGACAAGCTCAAGCTCAAGCCCAAGCTCAAGCCCTTCAAGCCGCTCAAGCCGCTCAAGTCGCTCAAGCCCAAGCTCAAGCTCAAGTTCAAGCTCAAGCTCTAAAAGCCGCTCAAGCTCAAGCTCAAGCTCAAGCCCAAGCCGTTGAAGCCGCTCAAGCCCAAGCTCAAGCTCATGCTCAAGCCGTTCAAGTCGCTCAAGCCCAAGCTCAAGCTCAAGCTCAAGCCGCTCAAGCCCAAGCTCAAGCTCAAGCCGCCCGCGTCGTCGGAAGCAGAAGAGTTGTTTCCGTTATGAGAGGAATGGGTGGAATGAGCCAATCTTTCACCTCTGGATTCGGTGATGGATTTGCCACCGGTTACGGAAAAGGAGTTCAAACCGTTCAAGGAGTTGGTAGCAACGGAGTCGTTGCTTTCTACCCCTCTGTCGCCATGGCTTTCCCCACCGTCGCTTCTGCTGGACCTTCCGTCGTTCAAGAACCCGTAGTTGAACAAGTTTACGAAGTTGTCGACGGTCCCGTCGTATCTGGAGTTGGTGCCATGGCCGGAGCCGCTGCCGGAGCCGGATTTGGAGGAGTCGGAGCTGGTGCCGCTGCCGCCGCTGGTGCCGGAGGAGTTGGAGGTGGAGCTGGTGCCGCTGCCGCCGCTGGATCTGGAGTCGGAGCTGGTGCTGCTGCCGCTGCCGCCGCCGGAGGTGTTGAAGCTGAAGATGAAGACGAAGCCGAAGCTGAAGCCGAAGCCGAAGTCGAAGGTGAAGAAACCGTTGTTGCCGAATCTGGTGCCGCTGCTGGTGCTGCTGCTGGTGCCGCTGCTGGAGTCGTCGGAACTGGTTTCCATGCCGTTCCCGCCACCATGGCTTACCTACCCGTCATGACCGTTCCCCACGTTGCTACCGTCGCTGGAGGTCAACAACAACAACAACAACAAGGAGGAGCCGGAGGCCAACAACAACAACAACAACAACAACAAGGAGGAGCCGGAGTCGGAGGACAACAACAACAACAAGAAGGAGGAGCCGGAGGCCAACAACAACAACAACAAGGAAAAGCCGGAGTTGGAGGCCAACAACAACAACAACAAAAACAATCCAAAAAAGTCGTTAAAACCGTAACCACCAAAGTCGTTACCACCACCAAACAAAAACAAAAACAAAAACAACAAGCCGGAGCCGGAGGTCAACAACAACAACAACAACAAGCCGGAGCCGGAGTCGGAGGTCAACAACAACAACAACAACAAGAAGGAGGAGCCGGAGGCCAACAACAACAACAACAACAACAAGGAGGAGCCGGAGGTGTTGTCGGAGGAGTAGTTCCCGTCGCTGCTGCTCCCGTTGTCGCTGCCCCCGTCTACCACGGAGGTTACACCGGAGGATTCGGTGGTGCTGCCGCTAGTGCTGCCGCCTCTGCCGTTTCCAAATCTGGTTCCGTCGTCTACTAAGTTCATACTCATTAATTCATAATGTTTTTTTTTTTTTAAACTCATAATAAAAATTTTAAAGCATTATTTTTTGACATTTTATCGTTCTACCTTTTTTCCACTTATTAACACATATTCGCATTTTACATTTTCTTTCCTTATGCTTCAGAGTGCATGATCGATTTTTAACCATCTTTGATAACATTTAATTTATCCATTAAATTATTATCATTATCCATTGTACCAATTCAATTCATTTCCGGTTACGTAAAATAAACCTAACTCATTCATAACATAATTTTATGTCCAAAATTCTTTTCCATTGACTTACAACTCCCATAAATAAGAATGAAATCCCTTCATAAAAAAAAATATTATTATTTTTGAATAAGGTGTGCAAAAATACCTGAGATTTATAAGTCGATACCGCATCCGGTTTGCAAAATTTTCCATTGAAACAAACGGAAATAGATATTAAATTGATGGTTTAAACCTAAAACAAGAAAAAAATTTTCTTATTTTAACAATCATTGACTCTTTCGTGTGTTTGCGTAAAGCGAAATGAAAAAAAAAGACGATTACATAAGCTAAGTATATGAAAACAAAACAAACCATTTCGTTACTCATAAGATAAATAATTTTCTTTTACTTATATATATATCTTACCTGTCGTACCTTGGTGGGTACTTCCGGTTCTTGTTCGAAGTTAAGCAGCATTGATTGGATTTGATTAGTATTTGGATGAATGACATCCGATTGGAAGCGACGCGTTGACATTAATTCAAACAAAGAAAAAACCAAAAAGATTCCCGTTTCCATTGTCGACCGGGACGATTTGATTTTTATTATTATTCCTATACATCCTGGTTGTTCCCTCACGGATGTTGTTGTCGTCACAGGAACCGTATTCAGGAATCAATCTGATCCTATTTGCATAAAGGTTATATATTATAAAAAAGATAAAATTTATTAAAAGAAATTCAGGTATTTATTCTTACCTGATTCTCCCTAAGGGATAAAAATCCATCCTGATTAATAATATTAATAATAATAATAATAATAATAATAATAATAATAATATTTAAAACGTTTTTAAATAATTTCATTGATTTTTTCCAAAAACTGATTTTAATTATTTAATAAAATCAAATTTGGAAATTTTTTTAAAAATAAAATTAATAAATCAAAATAAATAATTAATAATTAATAAATTAAAATCAATAATTAATAATTAAATAAAAATAAATCCACTGATATTTAATTAATTAAAATAAAACACTTTTTATATTTTATTCATTCGTTTCTTTCTTTTACAACATTACAAAAAATTTCAATAAAACATTTCATTATTATCATTAACGGTATCGTTTCCTCCTTCCCCTCCCCTCCCCTTTCCATCCCTCCCTTCCCCCACCCTCCCCTCCCGTATTCAACAGTCTGTTAAAACTTTTTTTTTTTTTTTTTTTTAAATATACATTTAAACATTTTTAATACATGGTTAATAATACATTAACTTTAATAAATAAATAAATTTATGTATGTGTTTATGTACACGTGCATGATTTTCATTTATTAATTTTCAACATGAACAATTTATTATTATTATTATTATTATTTATAATAAATATATATGTAAATAAATAAATAAATAAACGTGATATTTCATTTAAAAACTTTTCCTCTTTTTTTTAATAATAATAATAATTTTTGTAATAGTAATAATACTAATAGTAATAGTAACAATAATAATAATAATAATAATAATAATAATAATAATAATAAAACAATTGAACAAATTTGACAAAAAAATAAAAAATTTCTTTCTTTGGTTATTATTTTTATATTTTTTTTTGTACTTTTCTTTTTTTTTTTTTTTTTTTTTTTTTTTTTTTTTATAAACAAAATGAAGAAGAAAAAATTAAAAAAAAAAAACAAAAACATCGTTTTATAAATATTTACATCGTGTCGATCGATCAATCGATTGATCGATGACGTCACGAATTCTTTTCACACGAAAACAATAATTAAAACTTTGTAAAATAAATGTCAATGATTAAAATAACAATAATGATAATAATAATAATAATAATGATAATAACAACAAAAAAACGGGAAATTTAATTTTAAATTAATTTTTTATTTAATTTCTTTGTACGGATGAGAAAAAAAAAAAACGTGGGAATTTTTCTAAAATGGAAAATTTTGATTTTTTCCTTTTTCTTTTTCTTTAACCCGAAATCATGAGAATAACCGTTAGAAAGATCGGGTCTTGTAGTCAATTTCCCATTTATGCGTCGACGATAAGAGAGAGAAAGAGAGAGAGAGAGAGAGAGAAACAAAAATTCAACAAATGACGCGCGACGACATGACGCTGCCGAATAAAAAATAAAATTTTAAAATTTAACAAAAAAAAAAAAAAAATTTTCTTTTTTTCTTCCTTGACGTTCCCGTCGTTCCCGATTTTTCCTTCCTTCTTTCCTCCCATTTTTCTTTTCCTTTTCTTCCTTTTTACACATCTTCCCAAATTCCATCCTTCTCTTTCTCCTTTCGAATAACCACCTCTTTTTTTTTTTTTTTCTCCCGCTCTCCCGGGAAAAAACAAAAAAATCCCTTTTTAAATACCATTTATTCGTATTCCTCTCTTCCCTTTTTTCCTTCGATCCTTCTTTTCTTTTTATTTGTTTATTTTATTTCCACGTTTATTTATCAGGTCTTTGTCTCCTGGAAAAAAAAAAAAACAAAACGAACATTAGAAAAAAGTTTTTCTCAGATTTTCATAATTTAAATACAAAATTATATTTTATTCATTTATAAGGAAAGGTTATGGTGATTCAAGATGAGAAAGGAAATCGTGAAAATTATGGGAAAACATAGGGTTTCTTTCCCCCCTTTTCCCCTCCCCACCCCTCGCCCCATCATCAAACTCACCGAACTGGAAGTTTACTGAACCCTGAATTATTATTATTATTAGCCGTTTCCCCATCTCCTTTTTCCTCCTCTCTCACACCCGAACGATTTTCCATCGGATTATCATTTTCATGTGATTTTTCTTTTCCATAAAATTTATCATTTTTCCTTTTCAAATTCATTCCCTTATCCACGTTGACCAAACTTATTTTCGACGAATCCAAACTCCTTCGATTGTTTTTAATTTGATTGATTTTAATCGGATTCGATTGTATCAACATGCTTTTCCTCGACACGACGACCGGGATTTTTTTCGAACCGGTTCCCGTATGACTTTTAACATTTTCACTCGTTTTATCTTTCGTCGGGATCGACGGACTCGCGGACCTGCTACCACCACTACCACCTCCCGGATTCGTTTCGCACAATCCTCCCCCCCTTTGATTTATGGGAATCCTCGTTTTTATCGTCGGTCTCTCGATTTTCGAATCCGTTTTCGTCGCGGATTCTTCTCGCGATTGCAACCGGAAACCGAAACGATTCGGATTGGAATCCGTTCGAAAACCTTTCGCGAACCTTTCGTCCGACGAATTTACATCGCATTTCGATAAACCGTTTTCTTCGGGTCTGAATCCTCCGTGAAAATCTGAAAATTGGGATTTTTCATCTTTCGCTTGCGTCGAACTGCTCGGAAGAATGAAACTTTTACTCCTGGGTCCTATCCCTAATTTTTGAAGGTTTATGCTTTCTCTCGACGGTAACGTGTCCGATTTTTTCCTCTCCAAATTTTTACTCGGGTATCCCGTCACGGTTTCGAGTTTGACCGGACCGGGGGATATGTTTTCATTTCCGAACCACGTTTTACGTTTATTGGCCATCGTCGTCGGCATCGTCGTCGTCGTCGTCGTCATTTTATATTGCGGGCTCGATATCCCGGGTTTTTCATAAATCGGAATCCCCGTCATTTTTCTCCCGATGATTTCATTCGCTTTCACTCCTGCATCCCTGTAAAAATCCTCTTCGAAATTTTTGCTGAAATAAGATAAATTTTTTATTTCGTCCACTTCTAAAAATTTATTATTACGGTTAGTCGTCGACGTCATCGTCGTCGTTAGTGAATGAATGCAAGAACAATTTCCAAATTTAGTATTGTTAGTTGTTTTTTCATCGTCCATTTTTAATTTTCTTTCGAAAAAATTAAGTCTTTCTTCGAAAAAATTCGCATCGTTTTTTTCCGACGAAGACATTCCCACCCCGGTCACGTTATATATAGTTTCTTTAAAATCTCGATCCTCGAGAGACAAAAATTTACTCAAATTCGATTCGTTGTAATTACGAAAATCCGTTAAAAATTTATTTTTCTCCTTGTAATTCCTGTCGCCCTGAATTTGACGATTTTTGACGAGAGCGTAAAGTTCGTTTTTTAAATCCGTTTCCAAATTCAACCACGAGATTTCCATTTTGTACCTCGACGAGGATTTCATCAATTTCAAACGGGGATCTCGACACAACCCTCCGTGAATGACTTCGGATAATTTTTTTTGAGAATATATAAAATTCGAATCGACCAATGCGAGAAGATTTAAATTTCTTAGTGATTGTGATCGTGTGTAAGCCGTCGAATAACACGTGCACGATTGATTGACGTTAGTTTTGTTAGAAGAAATAAAACTACTTCTTATTGATATTAGATTGTTAGTCGTGTTATCGATTCTACAAACATAAAACCATTCAATGAATAATCTCCCCCCCCCCAAAAAAAAAAAAAAAAAAACTGTCACGGGATTTAGTGTTAAAAAACAATGATTTCATTCTTGAACTGCGTCGGGTACACAAATACCATTAATCATAACTTTTAATTTTAATAATATTTAAATTAATTCTTTCTAAGGGGATTTATTATTTGTTTAAATTATTGTTAATAAACAAATAAATAAATTAATTAATTAATAATTAACACACATACGTTTGAACATTTCCGTGATGAGATCCTGAATTGGCGGATTGCGAGCTACTCGAATGATATGGCAAAACTTGATTGCTATTTGAAGTGTAAGAAACTCTATCAGGTCTAGGACTACTATTTGCCTGGTTAGAAGAAGAACTATTCACTGAAGAAGCGCTATACGGTTTTGCAGGTTCTCCAGGTTTTGGAGAAGGCGCCGATTTAGAATTTTCCGGTCGAGGAGCTAAAACAAAACAATATTTAAATGTTTTTTTTTTAAGCAGTAATTAAAAACTTTGAACTATTGTTATTATTATCATCAGTGGATTTTTTTTTAAAGAAGAAGAAAAAGAAAGAAAAAAAACCAGAAACTTTTTTTACCACGACGAGAATCTTGAGTGGTATATTGAAAAGTACCACCGGGTCGATTACTGCTACTCGCCACTCTCATTTCTTCATCAAATCTTCTTTTATTTTCAGCATCTTCTTGACTTTGACTCGTACTCTAACAAAAAAAGAAACGAAAAAGTAATTAATTATCGATAATTAATCAATAATAATAATTAAATTAATTTTCAATGTAAAATTCATCACCCCTTCCGTCAAAGTTTCAGTCTTGTCCAAACGGTGAATTGATAATTTAAGCTCGGCGGTCACATCTTTGTCTTTTTCAGAAACGGCCATGCTGCGAACGCATGTTTCTAACGTTTGAAGATATTTTTTTTCCGTCGGCATTACAATCATTGCTTTTAAAGATGGCAACTGTCGAATCAATAATAAACGATTGTTGGGTACTTTGTCCTCTGCAAAACGAAAAATTTTATTTTTTTCCTTGTCAATTTTATTTTATAAATCGTAAAACGAATAAATACTCAACCGTGATCCAATCATTTCACGTAAAAATAATAATAATAATAATATTATTAATTTATGAACCTGATCGTACCTGATCTACTTAAAAGTGGAAAAAAAAAGTGTTCCTTAAAATACTCCCTTGAAAATATTTCTCTCGCGACGGTGCACAATCTTAAATATAACATTCTTTTATAACAAGAAGATGATAGACAAAATTCCGATTGTAACCGTGATCTTATTTCTTGTCTTTGATTCGTTTTCAAATTGTAACGAAGAAAAATTAACAATGTTCTTGTTGCTGCAAGTCGACAGGGTAATGGACGCTGAAAATTATTACATAAAAAAAAAAATTATTAATTTGCCACGGCAGAATAATTATTAAATGAAAAATAAATGAAAAAAAAAAAACGTACGGCTCGATGCATTTTTTCAAACATGAGCGTAACAAAATGTGAATAAATATAATCACTTGGCAAGCATTTGACGATTGATTCTAACTGATTAATAAAACTTGAATACAACCTCCAATTATGTGTTTTATCCCTAATTGTTTTATCACACTGAAGAAGACCCCTGCCAAGTTCAAAAGTAACGGCATCCTTAAACAATAACAAAAAAAAAAGTAATGTATGTTTTTGGGGGGGTGGGGAGGGGAGGGAAATGGTAGTAATTTTTTACAAATAAAATAATTTAAAAATTACAAACTTGTTCTTGACCTAAAACCCCGCTTGCTATTAAATGTTCGATGGTTTTCCCTAAATTCGGTATGATTCCCATTAATACTTCTTCCATGTTATCCCAAAGGAGCGTCATTACTTGATTTTTAACAACTCTGTTATTTTTACCTAAAATTCTAGCGACCTGAAATTAATTAATTAATTAATTAATTATTTTGCTTCCGTCGTTAAAATCATTCTTGCATTAAATACCTCGTGCATTCCAGCACCGATTGTTTTTCGAACCATATAAAAAGGATCTGTTGAAAAATCGCAAAGGCATGGATATATTTTTTCTAATAATTCGGATGATGAAGAACAAAATTTAACCATTGCGGGAAAATTATAAGCACAAGATTGACGACATTCTATATACCTAAAAGTTTTGCAAAACATTCACTATGGTGGAAATTTTTTTTTTTTTTCAAAAAAATATATTTTAAAAAAAAAATCAACGTGATAATTATTTACCTTGAATTAATTCGATCGAGGACGTGACTAGGGAAAAAATTATCTTTTTTGGCTCCGTGAAGGGGAATTCCCATGTGACATAAATTATGATAATAAGTAACCAGCCATAATTTTTCAGACGAGTTTAAAACAGCTACAAAAAATATATATTTTATTTTTAATTTGAAAAAAAAAAAAAAAAAGGTTTTTTAAATATTATTTATTATTTATTACCTTCCAAACCTAAACAAAGACTGCCATAATTTTTAGCAACGGTAACTAGAGTGTCATCAACAGATACAATGGCTTGTTCAAATATTTTTCTCATTAATGGAATGATTGATGTTTTAATTAATTCTGGATTTAATATTGGAATTATTTTAACTATCGTATCAATGGCTTCAACTCGAACTTGTACTGTTTCATCCCTTCCTAATTCGACTAAAATAGGTATCAAAGCTGATTTAAGCATATCTACAGGTACACCTGAAATAATAATAAAATTAACATCAGTCATATAGTATATCAAAATGTTTTAACGCAGTTAATCTTTTGCTAAAGATAATCATTTAAATCTTACTTTTGGCAACGATATGTAGTTGAGAACATATACTTGCTCTAACTGATTCATTTACATCTTGGCACAGAGAAAGTACAACTGGAAGAATATCTTTTTTAATACTAAAAAAAAAAAAAGTAATAATAATAATAAAATATCACAATTAATAAAAAAAATAAAATGATTGTTAAGTTTCGGAATACGCACATAGGAGTTTCAATCCTAGAGCTAATTTTTCCAAGAAGTTTACACGCAGCAATTCTGTGATTAACATTTTGAGAGATTTGCCCTTTGTTTAATGCAATACTAAAAATATTATTTTTAACAATATCAAGAGGTAGGAATTCTGTAGCTGATAAAAGTGTTTCCATCCATGCATTCGCTGCGACTAAACAAAAGATTTCGACGAATTCAATTAAAATTTTTCATAAACACTTACACATAAACAAAAATAATTTTAATAGATTTTAAACCTTGATCTCTGTTATCTGCATGGTAAATTATAGAGGGTAAAAAATGTTTGGCAAAAGTATTAGAAGATACTGTTTTTCTTTCTAATATTTGTAAATATGATCTTGCCGTTTCCACATGAAATTCTGTTGTAGCTGTATTTAAAGCTTGTTGAATTTTTGGAATAACCCTTAACATACATCCTTCTTCATCTGTAGACAGTAACTGTGATAAATTGCGAATAACACTTAGCTTTTGCACTTCTTCACCGATTCTAAAAAAAAAAAAAAAAAAGAATTTTTCATGTTGTAAATAAATATATAGCTAATCAATACAAAAAAAAAAAAAAAAAAAAAAATGATGATCACGTCTTTGGTAAGACATTTTAAAATGCGTATGGAAAACGTTACAATTAATTTAATAAACGTTTCAAAAAAATTATTCTCACATAATTTAAAAAGAAAAAACCTTAAAATTGCATCACATCGATTTTACTACATTAGTTTCAATAAAAAAAATTGCATTCAATATTTTGGATTTGACCATCGTCGAAAATTAAGTTGTGGAAAAAATAATTAATTACTCACATTTCTTTTTCAATTTCCCCAATAGGAAGCATATGAGGAAAAAACGAATTTATTTCTGGATTTTTTAATGCAAACTCCATGACGTATCATCATTTTTTTTTAAAGCGAAAACGAAAAATAATTATTTTTATAAATCTACCGTAAACTTTTAGTTTTTGTGCATCAATATATATATATATATATAAAAACGCTTTTTCTGGGCCATTTTTAAAACGTTTTAAATTCCCTTAAGTAGTCAAAAAAAAAATGTTGACTAAATTTTAATGTAAATTTAAGGGAGGATAAAATTAAATTTAAAAGTAAATTTAATATTTTAAACCGATAGCTTTACAATATAAATATTATCGTCACCAGGGTTTTTACATTCCCGAATTAATTTTAATAAATAAGTTGAGGATAGAGCTACATTCAGTTGTGAAAAGTTTGCTTATTCACAATAAAAAAAAAAAAACTCACGTTAATATATGCATAGCTCTTTCTATGGGTCTGCCTTCAAAATGATCATCATACATGTGTTTTTTCATTTCTTCACTTGTCTTTAATTCTGATTCATTTGGTTTATCCAATTGAAGGCTCGCAAATTCTTCATAGTCCGCATTGTGCATAGAATTCGATCTGCTCCTAACAGAAGGCTGACTTCCTTGGACAGATGGTTTAGGACTTGGAGTCGGAGTTGGTTTAGCCATTTTCATGTACAATTTGAATAAGTCCTCTTGTAAATTTTTCAAATTGTTGTTAAAAAAAAAATTTTTTTTTTTTAAATATGTTTATATTATAATTATCATGAAGGGATAAAATTAATTATAATCTTCAAGAAAATAGTAGTAAATAAAAAACTTCATATACAATCTCATACTTCATATATATAAAAAGTAGTTTTGGTTAAATAAATAACCAGACAAAGTTATAGAGTAATGAAAGTTATACAAAAAACTAACAGTACTAATACCGAAAACAGAAATTAATAGTAAAATTTTTTAAAGCTCGATTGAAAATGTTCATATAAAATAAATAAAAAAATAAAAACAGATTTCAAAAATAAAAGCCAGGTTTTATAAATAATTATTTACGTAACGTGATTTTCGTGAATAAATTTGCAAAACAATACCCGGCGTCTGTTAAAATAACATTTTTAAAATGTTTATTTTATGAGCTTTGAGGGCCGCGAAAAAAGTGGCGGAAAAAAAAATTAACGTTGGCCAAACTGGAAATTTTTACGTTGGCCCATTGTAAAAATTTTTTTTGAAAATGACGTCACACAACTAAATGGATATCGGGTAAAGGTTACCGGCCATTTTCACGCTAATAGTGCTTTTTATCTGTATTTAATTAGATTTAATAGAATATAAAACTAAAAAATTGGTAATTTTATTTATAAGTGTACAATATTTCTGTGATCTGTTCTTTTTGTGTAAATATTACTTCTTGAAATAAAATTCGAATCTATAAAAAAAAAAAAAAAAAAAAAAAAAAAAAAAAAAAAAACCCAATGTTGAATAGGGGGTCATCTTTACGGGTATATTGGATATCTATTCCAGTTGTAAGTTATATTTAACATTTATTTTTATTTAAAAAAAAAAAAATTATTATTTATTTTTTAAGTATGAATTTTTATCGTTTAAAAAATTTTTATTCGAAGATGATCATTTCTTAAAAAAAAAAATTTTTTTAAATTTTTTTTTCGTAGTAAAATTTTTTTTTAGTTTTATTCAAGGTCGTTAAAAAAAATGGCGGACGTGATTTTTTTTAAAAATAGATGATAATTTTCAGTTTTTTTTTTTTTTTTTTTTTTTTTTGTTTCTCTTCGTTTGATGTTCATAATTGTGCAAAATGATTATTAAATTTTTTTAATTGGTGAAATTATTTGCACTTGAAATAAATATTTTATAATTATATATATAGTGAAACTCGTATTCTGTATTAAAGTCTCGGATCATTAAAAATATCGTAAGAATAATTTTTTTTTTTTTTTTCTTATAAAGCTAACAACACTTTTCTAAAAAAAAATTTAAAATAAAAATCTTAGATGAGGCAATTATTTTTAAAACAAACATAATCCATGAATATTATAGTTTAAAAAAAAAAAACATTGAATGTAATTAATAATTTATATTTATCCCAGATATTTTAATATTAATAGAATTTTATAAATTTAAATTTAATTATAAAAATAATAAAAAAAAATCTCAAAGACTAAAATAAATATTTTTGAAAAAAATAATTACTTAAATTGTCATGCCAAAAGAAAAAAGAAAAAAAATTAATTAAATCTCTATCTTATTGCTTAAAATATATTTTTAATCGTTTTCAAAATATTAAGAGATATTCTTTGACTGATATTTATAAATAATTTAAGATTTTCAAATAGCATTGATTTTAAATTTTTCCAAATGTCTTTCAATAAATTATGTATACACACATACATATATGAATTATTTAATTAATTATTTTATTTCGACTAATTTTCTTTTTTTTTTGATTTCGTTAAAAGAAATTTAAAAATTATTATCGAGTATGGCATCCATCGAGCAGTAATTTCGACTAATTTTTATTTTATATTTTTTTATTTTTTTGTAAAAATTTTACTAATTCTAATATTATCAAATTACTGTTAATAATACCCATTTGAAAATTACAAAAATAAAAACAGTAATTTGGTTAAATTAATAATTTCAGACAAAAAAAAAAAAAAATTTAATCGGTGAGTTGTAAATTAAAAAAAAAATTATAATTTAATTTTAATGCGAGTAGCATGATGTAGTCGTTATAATTTATAATTATCCACATCAAACATATACACATACGTGGAAATATACAAAAAAAAATTTTTCATCTTTTTTATTTTATTTTTTTTTTGTGAATCCCACAAATAGGAATGCAAGTTTTCATCCCGAATTTAATTCGATAAGAGAAAAATAAAAAAAAAACAAGAAAGAAAGAAAGAAAGAATTTTATTTTGACAAGTGAATATAAGAAACAAAAAAAACAAACCAAAAGGGAGAAAAAAAAAAGGAAAAAGGGAAAAGGAAAAATTATATAAATCAAATTTAAATTAATAAAAAAAAAATATCAAAAGTTTTGAAGATACAGAAACCTTTTCGACCATATATAATAATTAAAATAAGTGATATTGAATGGTTCATCGTCAAAAATATATTCATATTATCACAGATAATGAAGTAAGGAAAAAATGAAATCAATTTTCTTTTCATTATTATTATTATTATTTATTTATTTATTTATTTTTTTTTTTTTTTGTAGTAGTAGTAATTAAGTTAAACGTTAAGTTTTTCACTCATTGTATTGTTTAAAAAAAATCTGGTAAAGTAGTGAAAGTTTTCTCTCAGTCTCTCTCTCTCTCTCTCTTTAATTTGATTCAAAATAATAATAATAATAATAATGATGATTATTTTTAGGGAAAATCGATTTAGAAAATTTTAAATTTAAAAATAATAATAATTACACATATATTGTATTAATCATTTTGCAAATTATTATTATTATTTATTAATATTTTTTTTTTTTTTTTATGTTGAGAAATATCTTTGTCGAAATTTGTGAGATTCATTGATTGAATAAGGTTAAATGCAGGGGAAAGAAATAGGGAAAAAAGGTTCGAAAGGTTGCGACAAATCCGGGGAAAAATCCCCAAAAATCATCATTTTGTTTACTACGTTATTATTATTATTATTATTTTTTTTTTTTTTCATTCAATGTGTAATACGTTACGATTAGTCATGCGATGAAAAATTAAACATTTTGGTTATGTTAGATTGAAATGGGTCCCTTACTCCCCCCTCTCCCCGATCGTCCCCCCTCCCCTGATAGGTTTGGTCGTCGTTACAAAACGGGAAAGGAAAAAAAGGAAAGAAGGGTTTATTTCGTGAATTTTTGTTTTGGTTTTTTACGTACGCCACGATGATTTTTCCTTTTCTATTCGACTTTATTATTCCTTTCATCGATTTTACATGAGATTTGATTTTCTCTCTCTCTCTCTCTCTCCAGGGGGAGAACGGAGAAGTGTGAGAGAGAGAGAAAATCCGTACGAAAAATATCTTTTTGCGTATGTTTTCGATTTGTTTTTTGTGGCCCCCTGCATTTTACTTTTTGATGATCCTCTTCTTACTCTTGTATATGGTGGGTGGTGGTGTTTGTGTGTGTGTGTGTGTGTGTGTGTATGCGAGTACGTGAGCAATGTTTCGTTGAGCTTTTATTTTTTTTTATTTATCGATTTCATTAGTTTTAATGCATTAAATGGTTGCGCAAGTGTTTGGAAGGAAAGAAAAAAAAGGAAAAAAAAATTCGATCTGGTTTTGTTTTGTTTTTAATTTAAATATTGTTAACAATGTCGTGACCCAAGGACTATGTGAGTTTTTTCCTTTTTTTTTTTTTTTTTTTTTTTTT